CCAAAAAGCAGCAAGGAGCTGCTTTGGCTGGTTGCTATGTCAACTGCACTCCCTTTGCCTGCAGAAAGCCAAGCACTGGTTGGTATGGCAACCCTCCTTGGAGCRCTCAGAGATGCTTCATGAGGTACAGGCTCTTTGGAGAAGGCTCTGGAATATCTGTGGAGGTGGAAACTCTTTTGCCAAAGGGTATGAGGGGCAGGAAAGACCCATGCAATCATAYATTTATTTGGAAAACTGTTCTGTAGAATCAAGTGGGTTCTTGGAGCCTAAATAATTCCTATTTATTCCTTTTGTGTCAGTAGAAGAGGAAAAAAATAATGGTAATTTGKTACAAAGGATACCAAGACAACATGGACATACAGAGGGTCACAGTGAAATAAGTGTGGTTGAGTTGCTTTAGCATTTTCTTAATGGTAAAGTATTGTAACCACAAGCTTGGGAAAATATGTGCTGTGTTTTCAACCTGTCAGTATTGTAGAGGTTTGGCGTAATGTCAGAAAAAAGCCCAAGTCAGGATCTTACAGGTGAGATCTGTTGCCAGATACATTCTGATCAGGCTGTTTTCTTGTAAAAGACTTTGCAGAACAATAGACTTTGGAAGCTTTCTCCATTTGCTGGAAATTAAGTAAGAAGATGTATTKGTTAGTCATTGGACAAACCAGTATGTCAATGCATAAAATATAATGTAAAAATATAGGTTTCAGGCATGGAAAYAGGCTGCCCAGGGAAGTGGTGCRATCACCATCCCTTGAAGTGTTCRAAGGGCATGTAAATGTGGCACACAGGGATAAGGTTTGGTGCTGAACATGGTTGGACTCATTTTGCATGAATAATTTATTTTGCTTAGCTGCCATATTAACAGTATTCCATCATAATTATTAATTGCAGTGTTTATCTAGCAGTSATTTTGAAGAAACATTTTTACAGCTAATAGAAAACTTGTAACATTCCCGATACATAATATAGTAAGACAATAAACAGTGATAGTCAAATTCAGAGCATTATTGCTGCTATAATTATGTTAATTTTATTTTGATGAGCAAACTATATTTTGGAWTTTTTCTTTCACTATTATTGAGTACAGGAGAGAAAAGCTAGAGATAACAAGCCCTGTAATAGAAAACAAGTAATTGTTTCCTTTACTAATAGAGCATATTAGTATTTTTTATTCATTAGTCTTACAGTCAGTGCATTAGGTACCATACATTATCTGTCTTAAGTGGCTTTGTAGGAATGGGTTACTTGTGTTTCCTGCATGGTATGTTCATTTTGTGGAGAGACAAATATCATGTAGAAAATTCTTAAAACTTTTTTTGTACATGGTTATCACATAGAATATTTGTGAGTCTCTATAATTCTTGTTTAAGATGTCTTAAAATAAAAAAAACAATACACATGAAGCGCACACATGTATTTTACACTATTTAAGTTGTGATATAACCCCTCTATTGCTGTATCTAAATGTCTTCCAAAGTATTTGCATTTCCCATCTGGGGACATTTCTCCTGTAGCTGAGAAGGACTTTGTTTGTTGCCTGTCAAGGCTTTGAGTGATTTTGTTACCGTGCTTGACCTGAAGCATCTTATTACTGAGAGGGTCTGGAGAGGTAAATGTTGAATGTTGCATTGTATTGTTTGGGGGAATAAAATRTATTTTATAGAGGTCTTCAGTGCTGAGAAAATTGTCCACTGCTCTTTGCAGTAGTTAGAATTTCCAAGAGCTGGCAGCTCTGTGCTCTCTTTGATATATAATAGGACCCTAATGCAGTAGCTGTAGTGGGATGAATCTCTTGTAGCTTTAGACACCTACCCTCTTGACCTGTATATCAGAACTAGTCATCATAAGCTCTCTGGGGGGAGCTGGCCCTTAATAAACTTTGTAGATTACTTACTGGGGGGTAAAAGTTCATCTTCTCATTTCACCTGAAGAACCTAGTGCATATTTTCCATTCGGCCCTCAAACTGTTTTCGCATTTTCCTCTGGGGTCTAAACAAGGGAAAAACTTTCTTTATAGATACAAAACSTTGAAAATTAGTAAATCCAAGAATGAGAACTGATATCCTTATGGGTTTTAATAAGTATAGTTTCTGCAGGTACTGAGTGACTTGGGTGGAGTCACCCTAAGGAATTGGCCTTTCCTYCTCGTTTATCGTTCCTTGCACAACCAAGCAGGTTCAATGCAGTTCTAATACAAGCTTGCTGTTTTGTTKKKKTTTTTTTTTTTTGGAAAAAGTGTGATGGTGGCCAAGCATGTTTCATATTAATTCTGTCATCATCTTGAGAGCAGGTTTGGGCAGAGCCCAAATGTACACTGATCTTTCAAGGTGCAGGGTAGCACATAGGCTTGTTTGGGCACTATTTCTGTCATGTCTGCTGTTCAAAGTTCGGAGAGTGGGGTTAGACAATTGTGTCAGTGCATCTGGGGAATACACTACTGTTGCAGAAGATGCTGCTTGAGCAATTTCCTTAGTAGATACCAAGAGCTGAGAATGAGCTGATACTTTACATGGAATAATGTGTACTCTTTTTTTTTTTT